TTCTAAAATGATAAATTGTCAAGGAATCTGTGAGGTACAGACACAACTTGCCTGCAGTTCAGAGACTGTAAAGTAGCTTGCTTGGTTAAATTAAAGAGGTTTTCTTGAGGACTTTTTCAAGACTACAACCTTAGTAACATTGATCTGGTACTGTGTATAGACTGTGTATAAAAAGGTGACTCAGATCTTCATAATCTTTATTTTTTTATATAATACAAATATAATAGTCAATGTGCCGCCTCAAAATATATTATGCCAAACAACCTTACTTCCAACTCTGGAAAAAAGGTGATGGGAAAACAATTTCAGTGCATTTCTATGACTATGTCAACACAACATTTTTCATATACTAAAATATTAAACAAGTTTTAGGAGATAGGATTCTTATTCCATATTCCTAATACCATATTAATAAGGTATTAATTTACAAAATGGATTAAAAAAAAAAAAAGAAAAAAACTAAATAGAAACTTTTTTTCCACCTTCGTAAAACTTTTTAAGAATGGATGCTTAAAAAACTTCCACTGGCACTTTATTTTTCTTATAGACTACAATAAAAATAGAAACAGCCACTTCAATTGAGCTGGTAATATGAGTATCATAAATTTGAAAATGCAACCACCAGAGTAGAAATAATCATTTAAAAATTAGAATTTGCTCTGTACAAAACAAACAGTAGCATATTCAACTCTAGGTAGCAATGCTTAAACAACATTTCATTCATCTACTACTCATGAGAAGTTGCATCAGTGTAACTCAGACATGCCAAACCTGCACGCTACATGCTCCATTTAGATGTTAGCAGTCATCTTTTTGTTAGCTTCATTTTAAAACACGAGTCAATTTTTAAAACTATTTGAACAGCAATTAAAAAACATTGCACAGCTTTCCTCAACAAGCTCAATGGAGTAGCAGAAAATAAAATAGTTAAGAAGGAAGACTGATGAAAGGATTAAAATACAAAATGGAAATGTTCTAAATGAAAATAAAATAACTCACATAAAAGCAAAAATACTTTTTAACATATTAAGTTAATGACCCAGAGTTTAAATTTATTTCATGTTAGAATTTAGGCAATTTTTAATCTTATCTAGCAATTAAACTAAAGAAGCCATCATTACCTATGGTTGGCTCCAGTGTTTTCCAACAGACACTTCACAAGGATTAGTTTATGTGCAATGTATGGGTTGATACACAGTTGATACCTGAAATCCACCCAAGGAATTTTTACAGTTTCCAAGCTACTCCGTCACAGAAAAATGGAGAAACCAATTTGGGCTATTTCAGGGACAACCTGTCTGACTTCCATGTGCCTGCACAGAAGACAGTTAAGGCATAGCTTGCTTGAGAGTGGCTTGGTAGATATTCCACGACTTTCCACACATTTGGCATATGATTTGTGTTATCTGTTATTTAATCAGTAGATGCAAATCACACATATTCCAACAATAAAAGAGTATGTGTTCTGGACAATTCACTTTCCGTCCACAAAGAGATAATATATTTAAATCCAAATCACATCCACCATTTAAAAACAATCAAAAAGTCAACCTGCCACAATGTAGTGAATACTAAAGCCTATCTGGATGACTGAAGTTTATTTCTGGAATTTTTTTCCCATTTATTCTCTGCTGAGATCAATACTACAGTTATCCCATTAACCATATTAACATTACACTCTTGAAAAAATATTTCAAAATTCACCTGCATCTTACAAATCAAACCATATGTTTGAAAGAAGAATATTTCTGTACATCGAAAACAAGACTTGTGGACTAGAAGTAAGTAAAATTATTTTGGCTTTGATAAATACATACTCCTTCCCTGCAGGATATAAATGTCTGTGTGGGAATAGCACATAGTTACTCATTCCCTCTTAGAGATGCAGCCTAGTAGCTGATTAGGGCAGCAGCGAACATGAAAAGATCCTTCCAAGCAATGAGAAAAATCCTCTATGTTGGTATGTACTTAAAATTAAAATGCATGGAGCTTTCCAGATCAGTCAACACTGCAAAAGCTGGCAAGAGAAGTTCAAAAGTTCTTAATTTAGTAGAATTTGCTGCTTTTAGGCAATCTCTTAGCCACCTAGCAACAGCACAAAGAGTGTAATTCTTGGAGACTTAAATTCACCCTGTTTGAATAAGAAGGAAAATTGCAAACCTGAAAGATAGCTTGAGGGCATTGTAAGATCAGGGAGTTTTGCGTGTTAGATTGGGTAAGATGCATACCAGGATGCAGCTGGCACAGAATAGATGGTATCTGCTTTTCCTACCCAATTTATGGAATAATAGATTATCAAATACAGTTCTTCACCATCCCCACCGTTCCTGCCATCCTCAGCACAGACCTATAAGCACCTCCCACAGTACTGTGGGAAAGTTCAAAACTCTTGTCAACATTTTCCAGAAGTCCCTACATCACGTACAACTTTAATGAAACCTTGTGCATTGCATCAGGTATACCCAACCTGTAGACTCAAGGTACCTCATAGACAGATCCCTGGTGGTGAGCTGATCCTTGAAATGAAGTTTAGATAGGTAATCTTAGTGTATGAGAATACTGAGTTTCAGATCACATAATGTCTCCTATTCTGTATTTAAATTTAGTAGGACTGAGTGTGAAAGGTAAGAAAGAATATCCTTCCTATCCTAAAGAGAATTTCCATCCTCTGGTACAAATAGTATTTGACTGGAAAAGGCACTGAATTAGTCCACTGTGACATCACTTAAAGTTGCATACACCATGCAGCATTTGTTCTTAATAATATATTTTGCATAACAGAAGTTAGCACATTTAAGACAAAATCAGATTCTGAAAAAAAGTCTCAACTACAGAAAAGCTATGCTTTTTATTGTAATTATTTGTTGTAAAATGCTGTAATTATGCTACTGAGAATAAAGTAATTTACTTGCCCTTTAAAAATAACCAGTTGTGATTACTATAAAGGGTTCATTTAAAGAATGAGAAATAAAAACTAGGGGACAACATTGCCTCTAGCTTTTCTAAGAAGATTAAGCAATATCTGATTCAATTATAAGCTCGTAAAATCATTTTTTCCCCTAAATTTTAAAAGGGAAAGGCAACACTTTCACTTTTATCACACAAGCAAAAAAATAATTAATTTTCTGTATTTCAGGTAATTTATAAATACAACTACAAAGCTAACTGCAAATCTATGTATAATGACTCCTTGAAATTCTAGTTTCCACAGCTAAGTTAGCCAAATGGTATATACTCAATGCAATTTAAAAACTGTTAATAAAGATGTATTTTTAAGTTATACCTAGATTGTCTAATTACAGGGCAAGGAATGCAATTACATTTTCTGCGTAAAGATTAAAGCCTTCTTACAATTCAGGCATTAACAAAACTATTATTTCACTTTTGTATTAGTGTAACTACTCTAAATTTGGCGTATTACACAGAAAGTGTTTCTATAAAAAGAAACGAATGGCAAGCAATATAATGAGTTTACTGTATGTCAGTTCTAGTATATTTTATACATGAATACAACTCATTAATTTTGTTCAGATGGTATAAGAGTTAAAATTATGCAGTCAGGTAAGAAACATCTTTATTCTGTTCTCCAATCACGTACCCCAAAAGCAGAGTTTTCAGAAAACTTTCCACCATTGCAATATGCAGTATTTTTCAAGCATTCTTGAATAAAGATTATCTATTCCTTCAACACAAGCACGTACAGCTCTTGGCACTACATGCGCTCATCACTTAAATCATTGCCATTTCTGTGCCTTCAGTCCAATTACCCATATATTGGATCAGGGTTTAATATTGTGTTCCCTATTTACTATCTACTATTTCAACTATTTTTTTTATTTCTCTGGACAAAGAACCATCTGTTAATTTGGTTTCTTTTCATTTGCAAGACTTAACATAAATTCAATTTTTATAATTCTCTTCTATCCCCAAAATCTTGAGTACTCCCCTAGTGCCTTGTCCCTAAAAGCAATTTTCTTATTGATCAATAATTTAATCTTTTTAACTCTATAGCTGTTCTCAATCTCTTTATTTTTTGCTGCCTATCCTTCGCATTTTATGTGCAATCTCCGTCATGTTTTTATCCCCCATTCTCTCTTTCTATTTCCCAGGAAATTTTGAAAGAGCCACCTTGATGAAACTCCAAGCTTAAGGCAGAGGTCATTCTCTATTCAATACTGTCAGAGATTCTTTGGGAAATCTGCATGCAACAACATTTTCTGAGAGCTAAGTGGAAAGTACCCATATATGAATGTCTCTGCCTGAATTGTGTATGAAAGTGTCTGTATTTGCTGCAGCTGTTATTTATAACATTTCTTCATCCAATAATGGATATATATCTCTTGAAAGAGTGAAATTTTGCTTATTAATGAGTTACCTAGAGACTAAGAGACAAACTTGTCATGTTCTGACTAAGATAGATACCCTCGCTTAGATACAGTCACTTCTTTAGTAATTTGGCAAATTCTTTGGCAAGATTCACTGAAGTACATGAAGGACAAAACTGTGATAAAGAACATTGTTTACTTTGCACTTTAAAAGTACCCTGTAATTTCCCAGTGGGGAACAGAGTGTTTTCCTGTGAAAATGAAAACTGTCAGATATCTTGAGACACTTTCTAAAGATTCTTATATTCCACAGCAGGATTGTATTCATTTTTTTTAGCAAGTATAAATCTTTGTCAATGATATGCAAATATATGCAAAAAAAAAAAACTTTATACAAGAATAAATCACAAATTCAGGCAAGATGAGAATATGTTCTCCTCATGTGAGGCATGCAATCTTCACAGAAGCATGTTAAGCGCTGTTAAATGTTGATGTGAAACATGAGACAAAATGTAAGGTACCAGGCAAACAGGCTGTGTCATATATAGATGAAAGTTACAGAAAATTCTCTCTAGTAAATATTATTCTTTTCAATGTTGTATTACTCAGCAAATGTAAGAAATAATATAGACAAAGACTTGTCTTTCAACAGTCCCATTCCCCAGTGAAACTTACTGACATAAAGGAACATCATCTTTGATGATGCAGGTTCCTCCATTTTTGCAGTATTCTTCAGGACAAACTACAAACAAAAAAGTAGAAATTATAATTCAAATCCACCCTCTCCATGCCTTCAAAATTATTATATTTGTCACTGTCTGATTTTCAGAATGGCAGAATATTCACATTTAACATTTTGGGTGCTAAGTATTTCTGAAAACTTTTCCTTTAAACTTGACGATAAAAGTATAAAATACAAATACACTGAAATCAATGGAATCTCTAGCACTTCAAGAGAAATTGAACAGGCTTCTAACTAGTCTCAAATTGAGAGTTACATGTGATTCCAGAAAGGAAACTTCTGTCAATTACTAGATATTTTAACAAAACTATTAATATAGAGAGAGCCAAGAACTTTGAACTTATATTTTCATAGTATTTACGTCTACTTTATTATTGGCATTATCATTATTTTCTTGTTAGCTTAAATGCAGTGGTGACAAAAGAACAAATACTTTTTCATGTATCAACTTTCTAATTCACGATGCCTAGAATTGTAACACATAGAATCACAGACTCATAGAATTTACTGGACGTGGATTTAACTTTCTTCATAGCTACCCTTATGGTGCCATGCTTCAGAGTTGTGATCAAATCCACTTTGATAACATACTGAAATTTTAAATGATGCTGAACAATGTTTACACAACATCAAGGTTTCTGTTTCATCCTCTGCCCCTCCAGGTGAGGAGCATGGGAGCAGGCAAGAAACTAGGAAGGAAAGCAGTCAAGATCTAACTGACCTGTATTAACCAGAGAGATGTTCCATACCCTATAAACGTCATGTTCAGTAATAAAACTGGGGGGCTGTTTTCCAGGGGTTGCTATTTCTCAGGAATTGGATGAGCATCAGTCAGCTGATGGTTGATGGTTCCTTTTGCAACACTTGCTTTTATTTCACTTGCAGCCTGGTCTAGTATTAGGAATGGAGGTTGGTGGCTCTGCTGGTGGCTGGGGGACTGGAGCTTGATGATCCTTTAGGTCCCTTCCAATTCAAGTCATTCCATGATTCTATGATATATTTAGCTGTCCATTTATTTATTTACTGTTGTTAATTTTTTTCTTAACCCATGAACTTCCTCAGTTTTGTCTGCCCTATTCTTTTCCCAGTCCTGTGGTGGGAGATGAGTGGGCAGCTGTGTGAAGCTGAGCTGCCTACTGAGATTAACTAACAACACTGGTTTTGCGAAGAGTAAAGTGTTTAAATGCAGGGATATATCAGTCATACATTGTTTCATTGCTTTTGACACGCCTTCTCATGGATTTCCAATTTAAGAAATTTAATTTTACTTAAGATTAGTTTTACCCCACCACTCTGAGAAAAACTAAAAATCAGAAATGAATCTCTTATATTTTAAATAATAACTAGTAAGATGCAAATATATTTTCTTATTTGATGCATGACTGTCAAGTTTTATTTTCACTTGTTATTCTCAAATACTATAACAATGTGTAATCATAACACAGCTGTGAATATTCTTCTATGTTTTCATATGATATTTATGCTTTAAAAAAACAAAGATAATAAAGTAAACTAGGTGTAGTTCTTTAACTTTTGGAGTATGCCACATAAAATTATTTGCGGACATAAAGAAATATAGTGCTATTCAATGTAGACACTTGCAGTTTTAAGAAGAGTGGAAAGACAATCACTTAAAGGATCTGCTCTCTGAAAAAAATAGTGGAGGATTTACATAGAAATAAATTATTTCTAGTTTGGGTTCTATATTTTTCTACATTCCTATAATTTCTCAATATATACCTTTTAATAGAAAATATTCTTCATTGAAAATGTATTCTCAATCAAATTTATTGGGTATATATTTTATCTGCATTGTGAAATTGTTAATTTTTAATGTTAGCAAAGACACAATGAACACGTTTCCAGACAAATTTTGTTCCAGAAACTCAGAAGTGCTGATCTTTCTATTCAAATGGCTAAAATCAAGTGTCCCAGTAGCATATTACAGAGGAATAAAACAAAAACAAAAAAAACAACAAACATAATTTCATACCTACATGAAAGTCCCTTGTGTACATGTTAACTAAGCACGTTATTTTCCATCTTTTCCCTCCCTATTTTTCTGAGTGACACTTTCATAATGCAAATTCACACCCAATATAATCTGATTAACAGAGTGAATTCAGTCTAGTATGTGGGCTGACTCTAGTTTCATTAATAAACCACTGTATTTTAGTGTTGCAAAAAGACACTTTAATAGAAAACTAAGTACCTGAACAGCTGGACTCATCAAGGCTGAAGTCAATGCAGTCTGCAATGCCATTACAACGCTGGGAGACTGCTATGCATTGATTTGTTGACATACATAGCAAAGAACCGTGGAAACACTCTGTAAGGGCTGAAAGGAAAAGTAACATGACAATTATTGTCAGCTGTATTTCCTTTTATCACTGTTTAAAAAAAAAAAAAACAACACCAAACCAAAAAAAAAAAAAAAAAAAAAAACTAGCAGAAAACTTTATTTGTATTTTAGTTTATAAACTTGGATCCATGTGACCTTTACAAGCTTTCATCTTCAAAGTCACAAAACTTTGCTATTTAGTGGACAAATAGGTAAACAAACACAGTACACAGATGTTACAGAAGCTAGATTTTCCCATGTTATATTTCTGAAGTAATCATGGGCATGTTTGCTTAAACCATTATCAGAGTAAGTTGAAAAAGCAATGAAAACCCATAAGAAACTACCACACAACACATTCAAATCCCAGGCATAACCTAGGAAAAAAAAAAAATTTAAATAAAAAATAAAAAGTTGACATAGTATAGCTTCCTTTTATTGTGAGGAACCAAATACTAACAGACATTTAGTGAAGAAAACGTGGAGGAAAGCTGTACTGAAATATCTGAACTTTCACACCTTTTTAATTCCTGGGGATTTAATTGTCTTTTCTAAGTTTTTTTCAGAAGAATTATGAGGGGAGAATCTTGATGGAATCACGTAAGCCATAAGGTTCTGAGTACAGGATTATTACTGCATCACTCATATACATGAAATATGCAGTGGTCCTACATCCTTCTATAGAAGAAAGCATCATTTTATCTAACACAGTGCTCTCTTACACTGCTTTCAACTATTATATTTAAAGGTTTTTGTTTAGTTAGTATGAGCTGAACTCTCTCAATACGAATGCAAATCAGAGGAAATTCTGATTTCTGATAAGTTAGATGTATTCATAAAAAACTGGAGTAGAACCAGAAAAAGAATCTAGAAAAATTTAAAATATCCCAGTGCCACATCTATATTTCATACTTCTTTCCTGCTCATGGGTTCAAGAGCCAATGCACACAGCAGTGAACATCCCAGGTACGATAGCCAAGCTGCTAAAAGCTATATCAGTCCCACTCCTAGATAAAATGTAAATCTCCACCTTATGTATATCACAAAAATATGTACACTTAAAATGGTGCAGCTCAATTTTATACAGCAGCAATTGGGTCAAATCCTTTCAGCTCTTGCCATTTTTGACACTCATAAATAATTATGAAATTGCTCATGTAAGTAAAGGTTTGTGGGATCAAACATTCTAGTTACATGCACTAACATATGTTAAATTCTGAAGAAAAATCTGGAGAAGACTGTTACTTTGCTTCAAAATTTAATTAATCTTTCTGAGACATTTTAAGTTCTGACTGATTTTAAATGATCACAGTACTCTTCTATGACTGGAGAAGTCACTACAGAGAAGAGCAAGATAAAAGCAAGAACAACAACAATCTCTTCTTACCGCATTGGACCAAATTGAAGCTCTCACTTGTACAACAGCAAATACTTCATTCTTAATAAATGGAATTCATACTTTGTCACTCAGTCATAGACATACATTTTTCCACTTCCTCCTGTTATGCAAAGAATCTAGATTCTGTTCTATAACAATGTCTTTGCTCTATATGCTCTCATTCCCTTTACCACTCAGTCCGGCCAAACAGGTCTTGGCAAGAATGAAAAATAACAGATTACAGCATCACTCCAGTCCTGTGGTGCTTCCCATGACCCACACTTGTAGCATAACCTACCATCTATCTCAGGATTTTGTAAGCTAGCCAGAAAATAACTGACAGTCCCATGCCCTCTGTTGCACTTTCATAACCAAATAACAATCTCATACTTGTGTGTAACAGATCCAAATCCTGGACATTTGCAATTTGGGGCATGATGTTCCAATGGTAATTGGACTAGTTTGGTAAGTGCTCATTTGCACACAGATATCCAGCCTGTAAAAATAATTGTTTGTTCAGATGAGAACTTCAAGAGAAACAAAGTTATAAATTTGACATAAAACATATTTTTAAACTTAGTAACTCTTCATATGTTCTTTAGACCTTGTACGCCTGTACTCAAGAGACATCTCAAATGTGGATATAAAGTACTGTTTATAGTTTGTCAAATATACTACAACTAAAACAGATTCAGTTCCTGAATTTTAACTCACAGTGAGGGTTGTGGTAAGAAAGTATGCATCTTATTTTTGACATTTTGTTATTATTTCCCCTAGTTCTGGACTCGCTGCTGGACTTAGGCTTGAAGACAAGATAGAAAAATGTTAATTATTTTTAGTTCATTTATAACTTTTGTGGTTTTGAAGTGTTCCTTTACTCTGAGCAAATTTATGGCACTGAGATTTTTATGTACTGACAGAGGGAACCTTCATAGCAATTAATCTGACTGTTAAATACTTTGCACAGATCTGGCATCTAATATTGCTTACTGTTAAGATAGTTGAAAATAACCTCAAGCTTCCCACACCAGTTACTCTTTAACTTTGTGAGGGGTCTTCAAGTGTCCTTGGGATATAAATATTGAAGACAGACAGTAATAACAGCAAAGATATTAAAGTCAAAACATCAGTTTTTCACCTATATTTCATTTTCTATGTTCAAATTAAAATTCTTGTAAGAATAAAAGTATCACAGCCCACTTGAAGTTATATAATTTAATATCTACAAGGTAATTAAAATTTACTATAACCACAGCAGATATATAACTACATAGGACCATTACAGAGAACTGGAAAATAGTTGTTCCTTGCTATTAGCACTTGAGTCAAATGCTGCTGCATCTAGTAAAAAAAAAAAAAACAAATACAAACACCACTGATGTTAATATGTTTATTTTATACCCTTACCACTATGATAAACTAACTTAAAAAATAGATTAAGTAGGTGAGCTAAAGTACTATTCATCACAACAGTGGCAAGAGGGATGCCCAAGTAGAACATAACTGGAAAACAATTCCAGGAATATTTTCATTAAAATTAATTAGCAAAAAAATCCACCAGAATAGTACATACTATATACATTAAAAAAAGTACCATACAACTTAACTGCTGAATGAACTCCATGGGAAATTCTGCCTGCACAAACTATGCAGCAAAGCAGTTCTGTGGTAGAGATAGTGGTAGTAGAGAACTGACTAATGCATTTTTTGTTTGCTTTTCTTTGCCCTGGTCTTCTTTGGGGTTTTATACGTAATTTCTGCAGCATGTAGAGATAAATTTATCTGATGCATTCCTGAATTCACTTGCCAGAATATTTTTGGCCATTTATTTTTACACTTACATGAATGAAATTGCTAAAGGACATGGCTCATACACAGTGGAAGGTGCCAGTAATTGCTAAATGCATATTTTTAAAAATTAGCAAGAACACTAAGACAACAAAAACTCACAGACTGCTGATTAAAATACTATTCTCTGTTCATAACTGCTTAGAAAAAAAAAAAAAAAGAATTTCAGGTTTCTCAAAAATCTGCAGAAAATCTCCCAATCTGTTATTACAATAGTGGACATAGGCTGAAGTTAATAGCAAAGGAATCACTGATTTTACAGATTATGCAAATATTTCAATAAACTAAACAAAAACTGTTAGATATTTCCTTTTCCACTCTCATTTTTCCCCACTGACAAACATGCATGGCATTTCACAAGTTAAAAGTAGACAGCTAGAGATGAAATGCTGTGCTCTCATAATGTACAAATTTTGGTGGGAAGACTGAGTGAGTGACAGTAATCATCTTTTCACTGCTTTCCTTCCAAACCACCACTAACCACTTACATTCTGCTTTGCCCTGCAAACAGTACCTTCATAGGAAAAAAATATGAAATATGTTGCTCCTTTTGCATTCTCGTCTCATACTGTCAAAACTTACATGTTTGTATAACCAAAACTGAATTTTGGAGTACCAATATGATTACAGATATGAATGAGTTCCCACCTCACTCACAATTCCTCAGTATACCATAGCTATGGAAAATGTTTGTTCTTTGAGAAGACCAGGACTTAATTTCCCCTCATTCTCTGCGCTTTGCTTAGAAGTCAAAGCAATGAAATGATATCTCAGTTGTTTAGAAGCACTCATTAGCTACTGTGGTCTGGCACTGGGACGTACATGTACTGTGATACAACAGAACTCTCCAGTTGAGGAAGGATTGAAAAGGCAGGATTAAATGAAGATTAATGAAGTGAGGTGTTTTTGATCTTGGAGGAAATAGAATTTTCACATGTTTTGGAGGAAAGCAAACTTTAAGGCCTCTCACAAAACTGCATCTTCCACCAACAGAACCTCATGTACAGATAGGCTGCAAAGTCTTTGCCAGTTTATATAAAAACATCTTTTTAAAGAAATTTCTTGCGTGCTGGCCTACTTGTACATTCCCTAGTTTTGATCCAAATGATTGAAGAACTATAATTTCTAGCCTACTGGAAACAGATATATTTTTTTCTGATCAGGATGAAAAATAAAATGTTAAAAACTTTTGCAGAATGAAAAGTTTAGGGAAAAATTGTCTGTATGATCTATGGAAATAAAAGCAGAAATTCTTCTAATTATTAACAGAAATACAAAGCAAACCTTTTCAAGCATTTGTAAAGTCAATAACCAGGGAACAGAAAAGCATAAACAAAATTACTTGCAAATGTAGAATGTCTCTCCAGGTAACACATTACAGGCAGTACAATGTCTTGACTTGACTAGAGAATGCTGAATTCTTTGCTACTCTTCATTATGTTACTCTTTTTCATGTCACTGTTTTGGGAAAGAAAGTTAGCGTGGCTTTAACAAGTGCAATGAAATTAACTTACGGCATCCAACTTCATCTTCATTAAGCGGGCAGTCAGGTACACCATCACATTTTAGGAGAGCTGGGATGCAGCCTTTGGAAGGACACAGGAATTCTGTTGGTTTGCAGGAGTTTGAAGGCATAGTGCTAGGGGTCATTGTGGGACAATTAATTTCATCACTTCCATCCAAGCAGTCTTCAGCCCCATCACATTTTGCATTGAGAGGCAAACACTGCTGCACATATGCGCATGGGAACTGGTCACTACTGCAAGTTGGAGGCCGTGGTGAAGCTGGTCCTACAAGAAAAAAAAAGTGAAAAAGTGAAAGATCAGAAGGAAATATATATATATTTTTTCCAGTAACCATCTATACTACATCTGAGAGGAACACAGGTGCTACTGGGCAAGACATTGATTTTTAATATGTGCTTTTTTAAAGTAAAATAATAAGTATAAAAGCACAGCTCGAAAGTAGAGTACATAAATAAAAAACACTTTGCTATACCATATTAACTGCTGTATATTCTTGCTGTTCCTTCTAAAGCTCAAATCCAGTATTTGTTTTCATCCTGTTATTGTCTGTGTTATGTCCATATAGAAAGGTTAATACCAAAGTGTTAGGGAAACTTATCTTTTACTCACACAAAGGGTGGTGACGCACTGGAACAGGTTGCCCAGGGAGGTTGTGGATGCCCCATCCCTGGAGGCTTTCAAAGCCAGGTTGGATGTGGCTCTGGGCAGCCTGGTCTGGTGGTTGGTGACCCTGCACTTAGCAGGGGGGTTGAAACTAGAAGATCATTGAGGTCCTTTCCAACCCAGGCCATTCTGTGATTCTATGTTTCTATATCAGAAAACATTTTGAAATATCTTGACAGCTGTCAAGGTCTTTCTCTACTTGTATACTGAAGAGACAAAAAACTTTTCAAAGACTACATAAGTGTAGATCAACAAGAAACATATTTCCCACAAAGCTATTGTCTACAGTAAGGTCTGAACCCTCATAAAACAATAAAAGTTTTTCAGTACCGTAGGAGGCAATGCAACATAGTTTATTATCACTCTGATTCTGTAGCTTAGTTTGACTTATTAGATAGTTAAATAATAATAAAAAATAGATCAAATTTTCCAGACTACATCTAAAAAGAAGACAACAGTAACAACAACAATAATAATGACACTTGACTGAAGAAGAAATATTCCCTCCCTGCCTCCCTTCCTTTTGTTTTTCTGGAAAATATACCGGAAAAGAACTCTGTGGTCATTTACACAAATTAATTGGAGACATTTAAGCTTCCATTTTTTCTTATCAAAACTACTGCAACTGAATTTTACTAACAGAAACATCAGAACTACTTATGAAAGCTGAATTTTAAGAAGCTGGTTGCGCTAATACAATGTTCTTCACACCACCAGTGTCCCCCAGGGGAGCAAAGTTAAGGAGTCTTGCAAATTGATGTGCAGAGAAAAGAAAAATCTATGTGATTTCACTTCTGCATTTAATCATTTTCTAGGTCCATTTACATCAGACAGATAAAGAAAATAATTCATATTGTGATTGTTGCAGACAGGAAGGACCATCTAGTGTTACCACATCTGCAAAAGGTGATAGTTTTCCTATTGGCAGCCTGAAGCAGAGCAGATCAAGTAAAACAGTTCATGGTGGGTTTTAGAATGCCTTCAGAGATAGTGCAAGCATTACTCCCTAACTTCAGAAGTCAAATGTTAAATCTTCATGAAGGCATGGCACACTGTAATGGAATACATGGATTTTTGCATTACTTTGCTATTTTCAATGCACTGGGCATCAGAGTCTGATTGTGGCTGTTTTTATAATACCTATATCACAAATATTAATAGTATTTGGTTCAAAGAAAAACTACTACTACATTCAGACAAAATGTATACATAATATTAGTTTATGATCTGGTCACTCGCAAAACAGTTACAAGGAAGAAGAGCTCAAACCCTGTCTATCCTTGACCCTTACTACCTTAGCAATCTTTGACCTTCATGTTGACTGACTTCAAGTCAGATAATCATAAGTGTAAGCCTTATGCAAAATAATATTCCTGACATCATTTATATTATTAGTGATGTTAAATATTTTCATGCTGTCAAAAAAAGATGTATTCCATATATTGTTTATAATCTCCACAAAAAACAATAATGGATTTCGACACAGTAAAAATAATAACCTAGTATATACTTCTTTTTTTTTTTTGGCTTGTTAGTATTCAGAATTAAATCACAAATCTACTAAAAACATATAATTTTAAAAGGGATTGAAAGGATTTCGTTTGCGTGATATATTGCTATAAACGCATTATTCTCACTTTCATTTATTCTACTTCAAAATTTGTATATAAGGCCATGACTCTGCCATGATATCAGGAAAACATACAGAAAGTCACTGGGAGAAGGTATTTATTTCCGTATTGACGAAAACTTGCAGTATTAAATATAGAGCCAATCTTTATTAAAAATGAATCCTTTTACGATTTTATTTTGCTCTTGAAAAAAATAAGTTATTAAATTAGATAACATTGTTTTCCTTCTGTTATTACGACCCCTTTTCCTTGTAACTCCTACAAGGTACTTAAGTTGTGAAAATGACTTATCCTGCAGTCAGTTCTACTCAGGGATGCACTTCTGCAGTTATACAGCATAGTTTCGATTTGTCTATACAGTGGAAATTAACCACACATAATTTCTTAGGAAATTGCAATTAAAATTGCAACTACACTGTTACTACATTTGTCTTTCCTATAGTCACTTGATGTGGGAAAAATAGCATTTGTAGCATATTTGTGAAGATTTTTACCTCACTTTCATTCCCCTCGCCCCCTGTATCTAATGTATTAATGATACATTTGCTAGTAAATAGTTGCCTGATTTTGTTCTGCAATAAAATTTGAAATCTATTTTTAATTCAATAATACATAAACGCACTGCTATGAGTCTTGCATGCTAAATTGTCTTCAGGCTTTGTAGCACTGATTGTTTTAGCCTTATGGTTCCAATCTCAGAAAGTGCTTATGCATGCACATGATCCTATTTTAAATTCAGTAATTAAGCAAATACTTGGGTGCTTTAATAAATCAGGGATTATTTTTTTTCTACAATGATTTTCAATTGTTGTTAGAAAATAACGCATAGAAACAAGTTCTTCCTGACTTGCATACAAATTATTTTAGAGTGTATGGAATTCACCAAGAGCAGTGAAGACATCTCCAATTTGTGACAGAGATTAATTGAAGAGGAAGGCTAACTGAAGGTCTTGTTAACTCTGTTTTATGTTTTCAGTACATTAAGAAAAACCCAAAGCAAAACCCTGAATTTAGATCAGGACAATAAATAATTTGGAAACATATGTCAAAGGCCTTAAGAATATCATCTTGCATAATAACTCACATTTAAATATTTAAATTCAATATCTGCTTGGTTTCAGATGCAATACAAAGACTATACACTGGATGACATTTCTTAAATGATTGTAATTTCCATGATCTGCAAAATCTACTCCTCATTTCAATCTAGTTTCTTTACATAAAGCAGGATATAATTTTTCTTCTTAATTATAAATTAACCGTCTGCTAAAAAAAGTTTGAAAATTTATAAAACATTGATTTATATATATCTGTTAAAACTGACTAACTGGAATATGCAAATCTAAAAAAATCATTAACAAACTGAAAAGAAATCACAAGCAACATATCATTAATGCAAAACTAATTAGTTACATTTAAAGCTGCTATGTAACTATATATATTAGGCTCATCATTGCATATGTACTGCTGGCATATTTCATTCTTAACAGTGGCAGTATTTATTCTGTTTCCTTGTTCACTAGGGAGAACTAAACTAAAACGTTACAATGTTGACATTGCAGTGTGGTTGCAAGGAAAAATGAGCTGATGGTAATGTAAGAAATATCTTCCATGGTCATGAGCTGCACAAGGGTGTACTCACCTTTCTCAGCCTTAAAATCTAACTTTAAACTTCTGTACGTGTTTGAATAGTATACCCACTCTACAGATATATGTGATGAGGTTTGTGTAAACAGCAGACAAAGAGATACCACTCTACCAGCATCCTTGCACTTTGAAGAGAAAATGGGTAGCTGTGCGTGGTGGTTTCTTACTGATAACTAACTCAAATCCAACACAGCATTCTCTCACTCCCCTTCCTCAAAGAAACTGAGGGAGAAAATACAATGTAAAAGGGCTCACAGGCTGAGATAATGACAGGAAGATCACACACCAATTGCTGTCACGGGCAAAACAGATTCAGGGAGACTAATATAATTTATTGTCTGACACCAAGAGAACAGAGCACTGAAAAAAATATAAGCAAACTAACACTAACACCTTCCTCTTATCCACTGTCTTCTACCTTCTCACTACAAGGGGCAGAAGAAATGTGTAATGGGGCTGCAACCAGTCCATAACACTTTGTCTCTGCTACTCTGTTGTGAACTCTCTGCCCCTGCTCCATGTGGGGTCCCTCCTATGCAATCCTGTCTTTCCTGTACCGATCCTATGTGGGCTTCCCATAGTCTGCATCTCTTCAGGCACTGCTCCAGCACTGCACCACAGGCAGACACTCCCCCAACCCTCCTGCCACACTGTCAGCTGCTCCCCACAGGCTGCAGCTCCAGCCTGAGGCTGCTCCTACAGAGGCTGTCCTGAACCTCCTTCAGACACATCCTCTGCTGCTCTGTGGGCTCCTCCATGGCTGCACTTGGAGATCTGCTTCTTGTGGTGCCTGCTCCTCCATGGGCCTCTCCCAGGCTTTAGGGAACTTCTGCACTGCACCTGGAGCAGCTCCTACCCTCTTTCTGCACTGACCTTGGTACCTGCAAGGATGTTCTCAGTTATTCAATCCTCTCTCCAGCTTCTTTGTGCAGCAGTTTTTCCCTTTGTTAAATCTGCACTCCTAGAGGCACAAACAGGATTGCTCTTGGCTTAGATCTGGCAGTAGTTAGACACTTCTGGAGCTTTGGCTCTTATCTGACACAGGGCAGCTTTTGGGCTCTGCTTACAAAGACAACCCATGCTGCTCCCCTCTAATGAAACCTTGCCATGCAAGCCCAGTACACTGAGATGGATATAAAAACTAAAAATCTCATACCAAATTTTGTATGTACTGCTTCATGAAATGTAATAACTACAGCTGCATATTCCCGTCTTTCATTGTTATCAGATAAAATGGGTGATTTTACAGATGTTTTTATTTCAATGTGTTAATCACCGAAACATCTGTTATACTACATCAAGTTCAGGAACTGACGATTTAGA